CCTGCTGGCCCAATTCCTTCCTCAATGCTGGGTTTGGAGGCGATGACCGGAAAATTGGATGATTTCGGCTTTGAGGATTACCTGAATGGTAAGAAAATACTCTTCATATACAAAGTAGATAATATTGGTATCCTAAGCTTTAACTGTTCATGGTTTCTGTTTGAACTCCTTCAATGTTTATGATACAATCGGAGCCTTCTTACGTTCCTCTTTGTAAAGAACTCACCAATCAGGGTCCTCTTGTAATTCTCTCTTTTAAACATCCATAGTAATCCTCATGAATTTCGAACATGCAGCCTTTTTTTCCTTCTAATCAATTGGTTTTTAATTAGGGTTGATGTCATTAGGAATTTTGTAATTTGATTCTTCTTTTAATTTCTTTCCATCTTCAAGATGCTAATATTACAATTATGGATCATTAAGTAACAAGTAATGAGTTAAAACTTCTTGAGTGGAAAACCCCTAGATTTGGCTTATATCGTTTTAATTCCATGCCAATCCTCGGAATTGAGTTGGTATGCATATATTTTAGACCTTGCATTCTTATAGAAGCTAAGTTTAAACGATCATGGTAAAACTTAGGAAGAAAGCAGTTCATATTGTTCTAATTTTCTTTAACCAAGTGAAACGCAAACTGTTGCTTCGTTCTTTTAACCCATTAATTGTATGATTGTGTTGGTTTCTTATATGTTTCATTGTCCTGATTGCAGACCCCCGTGAATCTGAAACATTCCGGCCTGTGGACACACATCATGCAATGGAAGTTCGCCTTGGGCTGTTGAAGGGTCCAGTCGCCCCAAGCTTTATGTGATCCTCGTACTTTCTTGCCGAAAGAAGAGGATTAGTATCTTGCGGTGGATTTATACTTTTGTGTCAATGTTGTTCTTAAATTGTGATTGTCTGTCACGCTGAGTTGAAAGGTCCAGACATTGATATTGTGGAGTTACATTTACTTTGGAGTAGTATTGGGTTATCTTCTATCCAATTACAGTTCCCCTATTTGGTACTTTCAATTTTATTTTGAAAATTTAGCTCCAACTCTTGATCTTGCATGTGGCCATGTGAATGATTCTACCAGAATCCTAACCTCAGATGATTTTGCTAATGCTTATGGGAGGATTGAGCATGCTCATCAAAACAATCTTAAACGAAGTGGTGATGTTCACTCTCGTTTTTTCTTTCTGCACTCCTCCCCTTGTTTAATACGTACAATATGAACATCAGATTGCACGTGTACACTTTTTTCGGTTGACACAAACGACATTAGGGGAGAGAGGATACAAACACATAATCTCGGATGCAAAGGTAAACACTAGATCTCTAGCTCGTAGAGAGCATTTTGTGGAGAAGCACATGTCCAATGCTTCTCCAAAAAGAACTTCCAAGTGTTTTCTTACAAAAAGCACTTGGAATTTTAGTTTATAGTAAAAACACTTTTTTTTTAACAAACGTTATTATCCACACTAAAGGATGGGGAAGTGAGTTAAGTTTCACATTGGGCTAGCAATAATGTGTTTCAAATTTGCTGTTAGCAAAAATCGAATCTAAAACTTATCGTTTACAAGTGAAGATAATACTACTACAATGTAATATTTAATGGATATGGTAAAAAACAAAAAGCGTTTATAAGCATAAATGCTTACTTACTACACCGGTCCTAAACTGAGCCCTCAATATGAATGTCATTCGCGCTATAAAAGTCACTGAACTACACCCTTTTGTGTTATAAATGTTAAAATCTAGTGGTATCAATTTAAACGTAGATTATTTCGGCAGTCACACAAGTAAAAAAAAAATGAAAAAGAAGAATAATATTTTGAGCATCTTGTTCTGTCATCGTCAATGGTCGTGTGCATAATGCTTACCACTTCCTTTTCACAGGCTCTGTATTTATCTGCTGCTTCTCCCCCCAAAACCCTCACTCCACACCCCCAATGGACCCTCGCCGGCCCCCGCGCACGGTCAGTGACCCCAAGGTCCGACAAGTCGGCTTCTTCGCCTCGCCCGAGCCCATAGCCTACTCCTCCTCTCCTCCCGTCTCCGGCATCTCTACTTCCGGTAACTCCCTCTCTCCGGTAATGATCCCCCCGCCGCGTCACTCCTCCGACACCACCCGTCCGGTTCTTTTCGCACCCTCCTCGGCCCGTCGAGAGTCCATACTCGCCGGGAGTTACAACAACTCTTCTGAGTTCTTCCCCGCCTCGCCTCCTACTGCTTCGTCGTCGAACGGAATCGTGATGGGGAATGGCGAGTTCCTAACCGACGTCGTTATGTCACCGGGTCGAGCATTCAGAGGGGTAAGAACCGCTGCGGGTTTGACGACGTCGTCTTCGTTTCCTGGTCGAGGGTTCGATCTGACGGCTGCCGTGAAGGCGAGTAGCGTCCCCGCCAGTGGGTTGATGACGGTCTCCGTGGTCAAGTTGCCTTCTGGGATTTCTGGTAATTGCTGATTGCTGTTCGTTTGCTTTGATTTGATTAGGGGTTTTGGTTTAGCTCAAGCATTTTAGGATTGCAAAATTTGAAGAAACAAAGATTGAAACTTTGCAGAGAAAGATGTTGATGCGTCAGTGGAAGTGCAAAGCGAGCGAGCTGCAAATTCGAAGCCACTGAAGGAGAAAACCACAAAAGCCGAAAGGCGGGCTGTTCAGGAAGCTCAACGAGCAGCTAAGGCTGCCTCAAAAGGTATGGCTTTTCTAGGCTTTTACTGATTCACAAGTGTTTTTAATAGAAATGTAATTGAATTCAAAGAATTCGAATTTCTTATGTTGATTATGAATGTGTTCCTTGCATTGTGTTATTAGCTGAAGGAGGTAAAACACCTTCTGTTGCTGCTTCTGCTTCGGCAGCAGCAAATGTGAAACCGCCTAAAGCCACGAAACTCGTGTCACAATCATCTGTGGCGGTATCTGAGAAGACGGGTGGTGGCGGAGGTGGTGGCAGTGAACATCTGCCGGAGAAAGAGAGGAAGAAAGAAGTTCCTCATCCGCGAATGCAATATGATGATACAAGTCGTGTGGAGAAGGCGAAAAGGCGTTCAGTGGTCAAGCAAACTGAGGCCAGGAACAGGGTTGAGTTGTTCAGGCATTTGCCTCAATACGAGCATGGAACTCAGCTTCCTGATCTCGAGTCTAAGTTTTTCCAACTTGATCCTGTGCATCCTGCTGTTTATAAGGTATTTAGATGCTTAAGTCATGATGTTATGGTTTGAGTCTTTTGCTCGATGAGTTGAGAGGTTAATGTGATTATGAAAGAGATTATGGTTCTATCTAATTGTAGCTTTCTGTACGGATGTCAGGTTGGCTTACAGTATTTATCAGGAGATATATCGGGTGGCAATGCTCGTTGTATTGCCATGCTTTTGGCATTTCAGGAGGCCATTAAAGACTATTCAACACCACCAGAGAAAAACCTCAGTAGGGATTTGACAGCAAAAATAAGTAGTTATGTTTCATTTTTTAGTGACTGCAGGCCGCTTTCAATCACCATGGGGAATGCAATGCGGTTTCTAAAGAGCCGAATTGCCAAGCTACCTTTGACTATGTCCGAGTCAGAAGCAAAAGCATCTCTCCAGTCAGATATTGAACGGTTCATATCCGAGAAGATCATACTTGCTGATAAAGTGATAGTCAAGCATGCAGTTAGCAAAATCAGGGATGGTGATGTTCTTCTAACGTACGGGTCATCCTCTGCAGTTGAAATGTTGCTTTTACATGCCCATGAGCTTGGCAAACAGTTTCGTGTTGTGGTGGTAGACTCTCGTCCAAAGCTTGAAGGACAGCGTTTACTTCGTAGGTTGGTGGGAAAGGGCCTCAGCTGTACTTACACTCATATAAATGCTGCTTCGTGTATCATGCATGAGGTTACTCGAGTTTTTCTAGGTGCTTCTTCAGTGCTGTCCAATGGAACAGTTTACTCAAGGGTTGGCACTGCTTGTGTTGCTATGGTAGCACATGCATTCCATGTACCGGTATTAGTATGTTGTGAGGCATATAAATTTCACGAAAGGGTACAACTTGATTCCATCTGCTGTAACGAGCTCGGTATGCATCCTAGCCATTAATTGGTGTGATCATTGTGACAGTTTATGATAACTTCATGCTCCGTTTGCTTGATTCTCAGGTAATTGTTCCACTTCTTGCAGGTGATCCCGATGTCATTTTAAAGGTTCCTGGTAGAAAGGAAGGCAATCCTTTGGATGGACACTCGAATTGTGAAAATATTCAACCTCTGAATTTGATGTAAAGTGTTCATAAATTTATTGTTCCGTGCTATCACATTTCTCGGCTTTAATCTACCCGGACTAACTGTGCACTCCTGTTTTAACTTGTTATTGGCAGTTATGATGCAGTCCCTTCAGATTACATTTCAATGATAATCACGGATTACGGCATGGTAAATCCTTTTCTTCTTCAAGTAATTGTTCTGAACTTGCAGTTATTACGACTCATTGTGTATTCTCATTTTCAATCCTTTATCTCGGAAAAGAGTGATGACTCGATGTTTTCATGCTTCTATTAGGTTCCACCCACAAGTGTGCCCGTCATTGTGCGCGAATACAGAAGAGAACACTTGTGGATGTGATCATTTAAAAGCGCCCTCTCGGAAATGGATCGTATGATTCCGCAAGGTTTCTCCGAAATTTTGTGTGGATGATAGTATCAGTGGATTCAGAATCATTGAACATACAAGAAGAGACCAGAGCCTGAGGTTCATTTTTTAAGCGCTTGAGAGTTGAGACAGATGTTTTTCTTTTCGCCATACAGTGAAACACAACTTACACAAGTCAGATGTTTTAAACTTATGGTACACAGGTTCTGGATGATTTAATCGCAGTATCACAATGTTAACCGTTCGGAAGTGCCATGTTCTCTCTTTTCTCGTAAAAACGTCATTTGCACTCCTCTATGTATTAAATTTCTCGCGTTTTTATGAGGTTTTTGGAGTGATAATAACGGTATTGAATGGATAACATCATGCCATTGAAAATACAATCATCCGAAAGGAACAAACAAAAGGGATTTGTTACTTTAATCATACAACCATCTTTTTACAATAACAAAATCTTGTATAATCCATATTTTGGGTAAACCTTTGCCTTCTTTGTGAACTTAAGTAAGCACAGTTTTGCAGCTTGTGCTTACTCTTTTGATCCTCTGAGAACATCACCTTTATTATTATTCATCGGAGTAATAACGGCAAGAATAACAAAACCTCCCAGAACAACGACCAATATTCCGAGAGAGTTTACGAGCAAGGCCTCCGTCGAATAGCGTGATATAACTTGGTTGGTTTGAAGGAAGGTGACTTTTTCTAATATACCAGTAGTTACAGTAACAACTGCAAGGGCGTAAGTATAAACACCGAAAAATACATGCCATGGCAGCAAGTTAGCTCTGCTGTGTTTCGAGCCTCCCGGGAACCAATACGTTACAAATCCAGCAGCCCACTGTGAAAAAGAAAATGACAATGAATAAAAGCAGTTGCACAAGCTATCTTCTCGGGTGAAGAAAAATAGAAACTATAAAGGTACCTGGAGGGTGAAGAGGAATAGGCAAGCTAGACCCAGCCACGAATGTAGGCTGTAGAAGTTGTCAATGCCCTTATCGTTATGGAACTTCAAAGCAGCCCATACACCGATGATGCTTAAGCAAAAGGCAAGGAATTGTAGCATAAGATGAACTAACTTTTTCGAGTTTTTTGGTCCTGAAACTGTCTTGTATGCTAGCATGGCTGCATCATTGCAGAAACACAGGATTGTTCAAATTCATAATAATTTTCGTTAACATACCGCTAGTCAATAACTTCCCTATATAATTATTTCACATTTTAGAAGCAAACAAAACAAAAGTACCAGTCAGTGAAGCACAAGAACAAAAAAATCTACTTAGCTCTCACATAAGATAAGACATAACTCTTGGCAAAGGAGGAAAAAAGAAAAGTATCTGAGTACATCTAAAATCCAGCAAGACCATTTATAACTTACGATTATAGTTAGCGAAACTCTTGTAAGTGAATCAATTTCTCACTTAGGAACCATATGGACCTCCACAAACGCTTCAAACTCATCATTTTCATCCTTAGCATGCTTCTAGGAAACTCATTGTACTAGTGCATAATCATCCAAGGCAATCACAATAACTTTAAGCCTAGATTACAGGGAAAGAGGCACCATTGAGAAATCGGTAACTAGATACGGGGCCAAGTTCCCATAGAACAGAAAATTTACCTTCTCCATTTAACAGTATCAGCCCAATCACCATCAATACTGGATGAACCTACAAGCAACACAACAACCATATAAGATTTACCATACCTAAAAATGCTTAAAGCACCAAATACTAATGTACAAAAGAGAAATTTCACCTAGATCAAACAACCAGGAAAATTGACCAAAGAAGCATCATTTCCAGTTCAAGATAATACTGGACTACAAATTGATCGGGACGATAATCTAATCTAATCTAATCTAAACTACGGGAATGGGGATTCGAACCTGAGTGCAGCGGGGATCCACAAGGAACAAGCTTAAGATACAAGCAAAGAAGAGAAACACAAAATTGACAACAATTAAGCTCTAAAACAAATAACATGATAAACCCAGTACCGAGAACAAGTCGACTAAGCAAACCCATCAACCTTTAAAGAAAATTCGAAATTAATTTCCCAATAGATATTAATATTATACAAAACATTATGAAAAATCAAGATTGAAACTTTAAGGAGAAGAAAGTGAGAGAAAAGGAGGATTTCGGCAGAGACGTACGTTGAAAATAAGATCTTTGTTATCGGAGATGAGAGCCAATCCGCCGCGGAAATGAACGGTCCAGGTGAGCACCAGAGCCGCCACTATCACTCCTATCACTCTCACCGCCCTCAAGATCGGGAAGCGGACGACCGGAACCGCCGCCATTTCTTCTCCTTCTTCTTCCTTTAGCTTTGAAATCTCAGAGATGGAAAAATTAGGGTTCTGACAGAAAAAAAAAGGGGGGTGTTTAATTTGGGGGTTTCGATTTTTGGCGCTGACTGTTTCTTTCTTTAACAATTGGGACGGGGGAGGTGGCGGCGGTTGAAATATTTTCAGGCTTCTTCGACTGAGATGCGACACGTCAGCAAGTCCACGTAGGACCATTCTTCTTTGTTTGTTTTTTGGTACGTTGATTAACTTATTTTTCTTAATTATTAGTTTATTAAATAATAAATTAAATTTAAAAATCTGATTAATTCAAATTATGTGGCTGTCCACATCAAATACCACCTAAGGTTGTATGAAAATATAGTACAAAAACATGGTATGAATAGCATTACTTGTTGCTATCTGTATTTCAATTTATTGAGTATTTTTAACCGAAATCTTGGGTTGTTGAGTCTCTTCAACCGGAATCTTGAGACAGACCTTCTCAAGGCATATTATGTCCGACCACTCAATACAACAACAATTGTTAACATCATTCTTATTTTTAATGTTGTTTATATTCAATTACATAATTGTTAACATCGTATAAGTATGGCTATCAATTAAAATCTAAGACGAAAATAAATGGCAAACGTGATATTGTTCGGGTAAGAATTAGAGAAGCTGGTTGTAAGGCGACTTGATTGCCTGTCAAATTTGTAAATAACCCTAGATTCAACAAAAAAATCATTATCTTCTTCTTCTTTTTTTTGGAAATTTTAATGAAAAGCTCTCGATACTGTTCATTTTAACGAAAAACCATAATTTTACATTAAAAAATCAATCATGGTACTATTCATTTTACTTTTTATTTTGTTTTTATCGTTAAAACTCAAAGTTTTCAAGTCATTTTAATTATTTTTCCTTTTTTTTTTGTCAAATGATAAATTTTGTTAGATTAGATGTTAGATTAGTCATCGACGAGATTTGAATTCATGTCGTCATGCAAGAGCTCAACACATTTCCACCACTATAGTAAAATGTTGCATGTTCTTTCTTAAGTCATAGTAACTGTTTGGCTTGTTTGAGTTTGTCATGCAATTGGGGACCAATCCTCTTTGAGCAAGCTCCTCCCTCTTGCCGTCAATTGCTAGTTGGGTTACGGTCTCGTGGCTTCCCTCTAAATATTATTGTTTAATGGTCTTTAACTAGCCGTTAATCACTCTATCCACTACCGTAGTAACCACCACTCCTTCGCCCACCTCGACCTAATCTACGGCCTCCACCACCGCGATGCCTTAGCGAACAGCCAAATGTCTGCATAACCATCACAAAGAGGTTCAAAACATACATACTTGCAAACAAACAATGGCGGAAATTTTGTTAAGGAGGGTCAATTTTAAGTAGCTATATAATTATGATAAATTTGAGTTTAAATATAAAAATTACTTAAGAAATGATCATAAGTATCAACTTAAAATATACTCTTAGTTTACAACCTTGATATCATTATGATTTAATTAATTATATTACAGCAAGTGACGCTTTACAACAATGATGAAAAACAATCAAGCCTATGCATCTTGATACGAATTCGAATAAAAGTAGTTGATATGAGTATGAGGACATGAAGTTATATATTGTTTATTTGATTAAGTGGCAAAGAAAGAAATTATGAAATTAAGTGTTGAACCCTCAATTATGAGCAAATTGTATTTGTGAGGAGGTTCAACCATAAATACAGCAGCCAAGCAACATCAATATCACATATAAATACATAATTTCCAAATTGTGAGAAGGGTCATAAGACCCTCCTAGGCCTTAGGCCTTAACTGGCTCCGCCAATGTTAACATAAGTCAATTCCTTAATATCATCTGGCGAAGCTCTAACATCATTTTCATCTGAAGTATCACATACATTAAGCAAAACAACGAAATAGTAATGAAATGATGTAACTTCGTTAAGATTACAGCTAACTTAAGCTCAAATTGAATACTCCGTAATGCAGCGAAAATTCGTCAAGATTATACCAGCCATCAACCTTCTTTCTAATTTTTCTTTTCCCTAGCATTCGTGTCGTTGGAAATTCAAACTACCAGAATTCTAGAGTGAGCCATGAATATACTGTTGATCTGACACGCCAACTTATTAAACAGTCCGCATTTTACATAAACTCACAGATTATAATGCTAAGTAAAGCACCCTGCTTTTTCCAAAAGCAAAAGCATCACAACTTCTATTGGAAAACAAACAAAACCCCACTTCCAAAATAACTACAAAATTCCAAAAAAAGAATAAAAATAACAACCCAGTTGGCCAAGAAACTAAAAGGGGGAGTGTTGATGACACCATTTCTCAGACCAATGCTGGATTCTTTTTGGTTTTTCGTTCTTTCCCGGGGCAGGTTTTCTGTTCATGTAAAAGTGTTGGATGTAAAAAGGTGAATATTTTGTGTTTAACGGTAGGATTTTGATGTTACTAAATTCGCTTGGAATGTATGTGTTTTTTTTTTAAGTACTTAAAATTGCTTCCTCAGTCAATGTGTAAATCATAAACACTTTAAATTTTTCCGTAAACAAAGGTTTGGAAACACCTTATTTTTAAAGGGAATTTGGACCTTACAAAACATTCTCAAATAAGTCTGTAGATGTTATATTGTAACACATATATCATGTCAATCTATAGTTTTGATGTACAACTGATTTTTCTGGAACGGTTATTTTCACTCATCACATTTTGCTTCACACACTCTTTCAATTTATTAATAGTTTTTATATAATCTATATAGGATGACAATTCCACACCCCATTTTATTCCACAAGTACTCTAAAAAATTATTAACTAATCAAAGAGTGTAAAAAAAATAAAATAGAGTGAAAATCACAACATCGTTCCTCAGGCTTTCGTAATTGCATTTTTTGGGGGTTTCTATTTGAGTTCATTGATGAATTAATATATGAGTTGAGTATTAGGCTTGAGTTTCTCATGTCACAAATTCAACAAACAAAATTTAAATGAGTTCAAGTCCAAATTGAATAGAACTTATTGGTCAAATTGAAACCAAACCATACATATTAATTATTCAATTTGGGTTTCGGTTTGTGATTCAAAGTGAAACGAACTAGACCATACCAATTGTTTTAGCATCTTGAAACCAAATATAAAAGACCGATCAGCTCAAATAATTAATAACGTCTTATATCGCGTTTGACATATTTGAATTCAAATTTCACCATCTTAATATCATTTGTATAAAAAAAATGCTCAGATAAAATATTTTGAAAAACTTTTAACAGAAAAAGGAAGTGGGCAATGATGAAGAAGAAGCCACATGCGACAAAGAGACGCTTATCTTCAAGGCCTAATCCCCTTTTTTTCCCAACTTAACAGCTCCCGTACACCGTGGCATTTCGGTACACTGTCACGGGTATATTCTTTGGAAAACACGAGAACATGCCCGGTTTATCAAAATGCCCCTACCTCTCCCCCAATTTACGCATTTTTCCAGTCCAAACGGGCATTTCCAACCATGGGCAACTTCGTCTTTACATACAAGACAATCGAGCCACCCACGTTGCTTTCCATAAAGCCAGCCGGTTCGAATTCCGAAACTACCCTACTACTATCGGTTCAACTATATGAAAACGAAGGGCAAATTGGTAGTTTCAACATGAAATTCCGCGCTGGCCCAGAAATAAAAAAAGAAAGAACGTGAGTAATCCGCACACCAGCACACAAAGGTGGCTGAGAAGAGAGAGAAACAAGAGAGAGAGAGAGAGAGATACTGAGGAGGTTTCCGGACTTGAAATATCCTATTCGCCGGAATTTAGGAACTCCGTTCACGTCCGGACTAGGGCTTCTTGTTAAGAGACGGAAACCAGAGAGAGAGAGTGTTACTGAAGCAAGAATTCTCAATTTTCATCTGAATTTCGAAACTTCAATTCGCCGGAATTTTGGAATTCTGATCGGGTCCTGGCTTGGGGTTTCACTCCTGAACGCTACTTCGTTTCTCAAATTAGGGTTTTTCTCCGGCGGGAATTCTGTTTCTGAAATTTAGGGTTTTTTTCCCTAATCGTTGAATTGGCTTCGGCGTGCATGCGCTTATGAAGTTGAAGTTGCAATCTGTAATCGTTCTGGGATTGTTATAGAGAGTTTCTTGATGTTTACGCCGCAACGGTGGTCGGGTTGGTCTCGAACGCCCAGAACCGGGGCGGAGAAGACCGGAACCGGGTCCGGTGCTCCGAACTCTAACTCCGGGGATGGGATCGTTGCGAAGGGCAAAGGTGTTAACTTGTTTGAACCCGCGACGCCAGTTTCGGGTTCCATGCTTGAGAATGTGGGGAAGATGTTAGTGGAATCCGGTGGCGCAGCCACTGACCGCGAAGTCTTGGCTCACAGGGTTTCGGAGCTCGAAAATGAGGTTGGTCGAGTGCTTGTTGAATCTTGTGATGCTTTGTTTGCTCTACTAGTTTCAAATTTTCAGTTTTTTCCTGTAAATTTCGGGTTTTTCATTCGTCTTTTTTAGATGTGCCATTATAATTTAGCACATGATTCATTTTTTAAGCATGGAATTTACTATTACCAATTGTTTGATGCATGCTTTTCTTATGAATGATTGTTTTTTATTGAACAGCTTTTCGAATACCAGTACAATATGGGTCTGCTCTTGATTGAGAAGAAGGAGTGGACTTCTAAGTATGAAGAAGTCAGGCAGTCATTAAACGAAGCAAAAGAGGCCGTCAGAAGAGAACAATCAGCCCATTTGATTGCAATGACAGAAATCGAAAAGCGAGAGGAGAATCTGAGGAAGGCCTTGGGGGTTGAGAAACAATGTGTGCATGATGTAAGATTTATCTTCCTAATCTTGTTTTTGACTCTTCTACAATTACATTATTTATAGGTATTTTAATTCTCTGTCTCTAGCAGCTAAATAGGCGAATTATCAGTTTGTAGAAAGCCTTGGAGGGCTATGAAAACATCCATTTGATCTTGGTATATACAATCGTTGTTAATTTTTTCTTTCCCTTAAGATCTTTCAATTGACTAAGGAATGCTCACCATACAACGTATTTGTCATTTTGTTTCTTAGTAAATACATGTGTTTTTACTTTATATGAAATGAAAACCAGCCTTTTCTGTTTTTGAGTGGGCTAAAC